CTGCCCAGCCACACCGACCCCATTTCACTTACCTGTGTCCCATACACATACACTTGGTAACACAAACCAGTGCAGACCCACAGAATTCAATCATTTCAACGCCCAGAGTGGCAGCTCAGGCTTGTGGTGCATGGATGAGGGTAAGGAACTTGTGGGGTGGGAAACCTCAGCTCCTCAGTCCTGACTCAGCTCAAGGGCGCTTTTCCACTGCCCCAAGACATCTCCTTCCCCCACCCTCCTGTGTCACCCACCATTTCATACTGCATTTCAGCCTGATGTCCCTGGAAACGCACCTCAGGTCTTAAAGGATTGATGGGGTTGGGGCTTTCTGTTCAAATCCTGCGAAATCCTGCATTCAGGAGAACAGGACATTTGGCAACAGATGCTGAAGCTCTTTCTAGGGACACTTTATTAAGAAATAAAGCTGAGGGAGATAGATATTAGAGTCTGCTCTAATTTTTTTTCTCTAATTGCAAGAAATCAAAGCTACAGATTTCATTTGTTCTCTGCACCCCACTCCTCTGAAGCTCTCAGTTTATACTGAAAGTATTAGAAATATGTAAAATTTCTTAAAAGTACTGGAAAATGGTTAAAAGTTCATTGTTCATGTAACAGGATGATGAAGTGGACAGGGCAAAAATCTGCAATCTTGGATTGTGGATTTACCTATTCTTAGTAAGTCAAAGATAAATGCATTCCTCAGGGGGCAAACAACAGGTTCAAATGACATTTTAAATAATTGCTTTTTCTATTAGCAAGTGCCATAGACATTCCTTATCTAATGCAATTAGAACAAAAAATAAATGCTCACATGCATACATGTACTGAGTTGTCAAGGAAAAGCTCAGGTCTGAAATTCTAAAGAAAAATTTGAAATAGAAAAATTAAGATGCTGATTTGTTATCTATTTTGGAGAAAACTTATTACTTGCCCTGGTTCCCTTTTCTAAGAGAAAATTACTTTAGAGAAGGTTAAGAGAAGGTGTCACAGCTGGGAATCAGATGTCTGAGCACACAATTTCAGCTAACACATGGTTCAGCTACGTGCACACTTTAAGGGGCAGAACAACTTTGTTCTGCCACATGCCAGCAAAACAGAGCAGAACAAAAAAAGCCTTTCTGATGTACCACAATGACAGGCCACCACAGAAAAGCAACAATTTCATAGTCTAGATTTCTCACAGGTCAGAAACACCGACAATGTTCTCACTGAGACTCATGATTAAATGGGGAAGCAGAAGAATCAGGCCAGTCCTTCGAAGCTTGGCGTCAGGGTGACATGACCACAATTTCTCTAGATGAAGTCAGTACTGTCACTTTATGCTTTGAAGCATTTATTTCTGTTCAGCTGAAGGAACCATTGATCCAAAGCCTTGAAACAGGCAGACCTGGAAGGTCACCATACCTGACAGCATTCAAAATTATCAAGTTACACCCAACTATTTTCCTGGGTTACAGGAATCATTCCTCCAATTTCTCAGAGGACAGACTTAGAATAGGTGCCCTATGAAGCACTGGCAGAGAACACATTCAGACTGTGGACTCATTCCTATGGCAGTGTAAGGTACATACCTGATGGCAGTAATAAGTTAAATATTTAACTTTACAAATGCTGGTTGTGATTTACACATATAAACCATTCTTACTTTTGTGCAAAGCAATGGTGTAAGTTGGAAGATAATTTTCCATCTCTGTTCAAAACTCTGCTGTACAAAACTACTGCAACTGCACAGGACTTGGGGTTGGGTTGTTACTACCAGGGCGTGGAGGGTAGGAGGTTGTTCTCCACAATTCTTCTCACATCCCCAACCTGTGATTTCAGAAGTGGGACTGTCATGTACTGAGAGCTGTCACAAGCAGGAGACTCTCATTACTAAATGCTCATACTGATGAAGCCCCACAGCAGTATCAGGTTATCCCCCGCAGCTTTTGTTCTTACCAGGAACTCTTACTACTTTTTTATTTTAACTTTTTTTCTAAAGTCTACCTTCAAGTATTACTGACTACATTCTAATAATTAACAGTGTGTACTAAGCTTTTGCCTACACAGGATGACCCTGTACTAGAAGGCCACAAAAGGAAAAGGATGTTATTATGAAAGTAAGGTGACCACAAATACTTTCCAAACACTGAAATCATGTACCAGCATCAAGCTAGTTCTGCCATTCTAATGCTTGATGTTCAAGATTATTTGGTGTATGTATTTTACATGCTCTTCTGTACCATTTTGCTCAGTACAGCCTGGTCTTCCTCGTCCCCAGATCAATGAAAACCATTCTGCATATCCTGTCCCACTGAATAATCCCTTAAACTTTTTGCCCAAGGGATTTAACACCATCACACTTCTCAAAGTATCATCAATGCCTTTTGGCATTGACAGTGTAGAAAGTACAAATACATTTCTCCATCTTTATTTCCTGGATTATTTTTAAAATACACACACTGAATTGTGCCTCACAGCCCTTCCAGCACACCAATCCCCATCTTTTTGGCCTCTCCTTTTTCTACAGCAGAATGCTTCACTTGCCTGAAATACATGAAAGAGAAGTATGTGGCCACAGGATGATCTGCATTGTTTAAATATAAGACAGCAAGGGTATCACAGCTGCCAGTTCCCAAGATACTGTTTCCATGGAGAATAATTTATATTAACATCTAAAGCACAGGGGCATGAAAACCCAGAGCAGTGAAGCAAGGAAACCTACAGCTAAGAGAAGAATTAGCTCTATACTCAAGTGTGCTGTGGAATCTCTTACATGAAGGTGGTATCTTACTCTAATGCCTGTTTAGAGAAACCCTCATGTCACATGAGTAAGTCTTCATCTGCTTTTTGAGGATTCACTTCACTGCCAATGAATTCAAGGGGGTGGCAGTGCTAGTTCCAGAGATTTTACACCTTCAAAGTTTTACTGCATTAGTTACCACAGTACCCCAGTCTATGTGTCAGAGATGCAAGCAAAAAAGGTCTGAAACTAAATCAGGTACATTAAGTAAATTATCTAAGTACATTAGGAAATTGTATTTTACAAAATACAATTTCTGACATTTTGTTATTATTTGCTGTTCTCCATCTGTAGTGACCATTGACATCTTGAGCTTTACAAACTCTTAATAGAGGCTCTGGACAACTCATTGGTATACAGCCACATTTCACCACACCAAGAAACTTGCTTAGCATATCTTCACCTAACAAGGTGAAGCTGTTACAGGTGTAACAGCTGAAAGCCTCTGCTGATAATACTGAAATACATTACACATGGTGTGAAGGGCATGAAATAACAACTCTTTTTTCACACCAAATTGCATCAAGCCAACTATTCTAGAAGGAACACAAGAAGTACAGTCTATTTGTCCTGCTCTGTCACCTGCCTTTCTTCAGTTTGCCAGCCCCTTGCTTCTTTCTTCAGTGGGAAGAGCGCAGTGATCCAGGCCAGGCAAGAAATAAACTTGAGCCTGGCTTTCTTGGCTATAATCATAGAAAAGCTTGATTAGGAAGAGACCTTAGAGATTATTTAGTTCAAATTCTCCTGCCATGAATCCTTCCAGGGATGTTCCAGTGCCTCAATGCCCGAAATGCATTCAGTCCTTTTCAAGCCGTGGTTCTGCAACTCAGCAGTTACTTTTTGTTGATTCTCATAAGATCCAGAAAAGCAGGTTCACACACTATGAAACAATCCTTTTCAATCATAATCTACATCTGCTATCATTATTGTTTTCCTCATTAGCAGCAGCTTTTCTTCTAAATCTTGTTTGCCTTCTTAAATCATTTTCACAGAGCAGTGGTCGCTACACATCTGCCATCATTACCTTTAGTTCATGCAGCTCAGTCTCACCAGTTCTGTGGTTTCCTCAAGATGGAGTTCAGTTGATGAGAAGACAGACAAAAAGAGCAGAGAAACACACACTGCACTCTGGGTGTAGTACACTTCCACGTACATCTAGGTGAACTCACACAGGTATGCTTGTGGTTATAGTTGAGCTGATTTCTCAGAACCCATTAGAGAACTAAGTGGGAGCTTCACTGCACAGTAGGCAAATGTTGCCAAGAACTGCAAATTCAACATCAAAAATAAAAAGGTCTGATTACAGAGACATATTTTACACAGAAGTGAGGAAAGTGCTAAAAGCTATGCTGAGTGGATTCCATAGGAAGACCAAGAAGAAGCAGAGAGCAACACGAGGCTGCAGTGGATGTGCAGCACTTCAGTTAGGAGTTTAAACATGTCACTGGGAAATGAAATGCTCATTACCAACTAAGGACGACTGTAAATAATTTGTTGCTTCAGGTGGTAAGATTTTGGGGGTTTTTTTCTGCTCTTTCAGTTCCTCTATCCCCTCCCACATACTGCTATTTTTATATATAGCCAACACTACCAGATGTCATTTTGTTATCTGCCACCAATACACCATTGCCTTTTTCTGAGGAGGTTTTTGTTACTTCTAATCTTTGTATTATAGCTAAGGTTTCTGGCATTAGGGGAGCTTGAGAGAAAGGTGTTAAACACAATGTCTTCGTTCAGACTCCATAAATGTAAACAGCAAGTATGCAGTATATGCTAATTTCTCTAAGAAAAATCCCCAAATCCTGAACAAAACAAAACTATGACCCTGCTATAGGATAGGATTTTGTATATTTTTAGCAATAGAAAACATGCATCATTTGAAGAGCTGACTGGATTTGTGGAAGGTGGAAAAAGGTGATTTGACCATTTTGTTTTTGCACTTCACCCCATGACTCCAGTGCTCTCAGTCCCATATGACAGTGTCTGTCAGAATGATACATGTCACTGACAAACCATGAAATGCAAACAGCAAATCAAATATAAAGAGGTATGCAGGTGGAAAGAGGAATTATGGCAAGAACTCTGGGCTGCATATGGATGAATGATTAAAACCCTTACAAGATGCCCTTTTCAAATATTGATCCAATTACCAACACGTAAATGACCAAACAAGTGGCCCACTGGCTCAACAAATAAAAATAATTCATTAAGACAATGATACTTGAAGGGACAGGTTTATTATATCTCCTACACCTTTTCAGTTCTGAGCCGGTGTCCAAAGCAATAATGAAAACCTTAATCCAGAAAACATTTACAGCAAAATACAATGTCTTTGTGCTGTTAATTAAAATGTTATATGGTTCTCCTCCCTTCTTACATCTTCGGTGATTCTCTAACTTTGCAATGGTATTTTCCATACAGTAATGCTGAAAAAACTACACTAAACACAACATAAGCCTAAATAATAATTTGTTTTTAATTACCTGGTATAGAATACCTTGCAAACAAAAGACACTTTTCAGATTTACTGACAGGTACTGTATTTTTTGGCAACCCTGGAACAAACCAGAAGAAAAAGCAAAGAATTATTCTATAAACATGAGGGAAAGAAACATCCATCTAAATGTAGAGGATTCATATGGTAAAACTAAAGAAAAAATCCACACTTACAGCAGATTTTTTTTTAATTCTTAGTGCAAGAAACATAACCAAGTTAATCACAGAATCAGTACTAATTAAGAATATGGAAAATTCTCCTATACAGAGGTAGAGTCCAGTGCACAAGGCTAAAACGATATTCAATAGTCTAAACAAGACTGAGCCAGGTTTTACGGAATCCACTTTTTAAAGTATCAGACTGTATGTACATACATACAATAAATAGACTATACAATCTTTAAAGTAGTTTAATAAACTTCACAAAAATTATAGTAGATGCATTGATATCTTTACATAATCCAAAGTTCATATCTCTATCACCCAGAAATGGAAAAAAACCAATATTCCTGATATCAAGTTAAATGGAAAATAGTTTAGCAAAGTGTTGATAAATCAAAATATTTTACATATTTTAAAGCCTAAATTTATGCTTATAAAGGATGAATTTCAAATGCTCTGAAAATGTTCCTTTTGATACTATCCGTAAAGAGGTTTCAAATGCTGTAATTTGTTATAAACACTTGCCTTACATTCCATGTTCAAGGGAAAAATGGACTTGGATACTCACAGTTCTGATGCATTGGCACAACAAGAAGTGATGAGAATTAGATTATTTTAAAGGCCCAAAGAACATCAGGAGAATTTATGGACAAAGCCTTCATGTCTCAAACAAAACAAATCACATTGGGAAGCTAACAGGAAACCGCTTGGTTTCACTGCTTCCATCCTGTGGGTGCCTGCCCTCCGGAGGCCCCGGAGCAGCATCCCTCTGGGAGTCAGGGGTGCAGCTCCGGGACCCCAGGCAGCCACAAGCCCATAGGGCTTAACAAAACAAACACGGAATCTTTGTGGGTTACAACAGTAGTGCACAAATCAGGGACATCTGCTGCCATTCCCTTCAGCGATAGTCACAAGGACAGATTTCAGGGAACTGAGAGCTTTCAGCTGTATCTTTCTAAACTGTGCAAAAAACAAAAACTGGGGGGGGGGGGGGGGGGGGAATCACTCTGCAGTGTTATGAAGCAAATATGCTTACACTGAGAAGTTATTTTGTATAAAAGGTTCCTACAATTGCCAAGGGGGGAACAGCCACAGTAAGAGCGAAATGATAATGACAACAGAGGAGTTTAATAATCCAAGTTGGAAATTATATTCACAGTTCAGTTACTTTTAATTTCTATAAGCACCTACACTGAAAAACATGAGGGTTTGTGTTTTAGCTTCCAAATCAAATCTCCTTGTGACAGATACCTTATTAAGATTTCCATTCTGCTCTTCTACAGGCCTTCTCATTGGAACAATTTTTTTTATTATTTTTTATTTTATACAAACAGACTCACTTTGATTTAAAGTAAACATATAAAAATTGAGAATATTGCTTGCAACAATGGACCTGGAGGTGAAGGAATGAACTTGTCAGGCCATAAAAAAAAAAATCTCCTTCAAAATGGATGAATTCTGCTAAACTTCTAATGTTATGAAAATCTGCAAAAAGGATCACAAGATCTGTTGCAAATTTCAGAGATTTGGCCCAAGTCTTATCATCATCATCTCAAGACTTTAACAACTGTATCTTTATATTATGGAAAAATAAATGATTCCAAGAACTCAGGAAGGCACACGCACCCAAGTATACTATAAATAAAACACATCATGAAATTACGAAGATCTTCTGATCCCTGTACACACTTTTGGTTCAGCACTATGGTCAAGTTCTCTCTTTTGAAATACAATAAAAGGCATACAAGAAATGTAACATATGCATAATAATTAAGAAGAATAATGCTAATAAGACAGGTTACAGAGAAAAGTGCAGTGAAAAAACCCAACACTATTTATTCAGGGGCTTGTGCTACTGTAAATACAGACTTTGTATTTCCTGCTGTGCAAGGGGAAGAATTTATCCTGGGAAGCAGCAATGAGGAATGCAAAACAACAACAACAACAACAACAACAAAAAAAAGATATTAAGAGAAACCTTTAAGATGGAACTCTCCCAATGTCATTCCTCTAGTGCACAGTCATCTGACTACATGGTTTTTTTTCATGCTGCCATTTCCCTTCATGAGTACAATAGAAAATGGCAGAGTTCTTAAATATTTTTCTGCCTCTACTTCATTTTTTTGTTTCTTCTTCCAAGCACCTGATTTTCTGTTTCCTCATAAAAGTGTAAAGCTGTAAGTGGAAGTGAGAAAATAATTGTTGCCGATCTTCTCTCCCGAACACCGATTTCTCCATTTCTCCTTCCGTTAGGTATTTCACTCGTGTGCTACACAATGGGGAGGCACTGTAAAGGCAGCTTGACAGATTTAAAAATAAAAAAATCAAAAGTCTTTTTTTCTTTATCCCCCCCGCCCCTAGCCCACTCTGAAAAAAATGGATGGATGAAACAGTACGTCCATAGGAATATTCCAGTCTCCTGTTAGGAGATAATTGCAGGGGACCATCTAACCACAGTCAGATTGTCAGCACTGACCGACCGCTTCTTTGCAGCTTTCCTGAAGTCCTTGTACTTGTCTTCACACAGGCGAGAAATGGCCTGCAAGAGAAAAGGTGAAAACCCCTCAGTGGCATAGCTGTCCAGGTAAAGCAAGACTAAATGCAGATTTCTACATACAGGTGAAACTACAAAAGTCACTTCATTAAGCAAAACACATGAAGACGTTCTCCTCAAATCCCAGTTTTCATTTCATTCATCTTAGAAGGAAGGTTTGCATTGCCCCACATGGCAGCTTCAGAAGGACTCAGCATACCCCGAGCCTTGTCTTTGCAGGTGAACCATCACAAACCTCACAGAGGGAGCTGACAATGCTTGTCCATTTTTACAAGGTAACTGGTGTATCATCCTTCATAGGTGAAAACTTAATAAAACAACCATAGAAACTGTAAGTGTATTTGGAGAATTTAAAAATCAGATCGCTCTTAATTTTTTTTATATCCTAAAAATCTTGTAGTAATTATATTTTTCTCTGTTGAGAAATGGTCTTGCAGAACACTCATCCTGCTTTGGCTCCTGAGCTGATGTTAACTCACCTTTCAGAAGCAGATGATCATTTCTATGTGACCAGGCTATCTTATATAGTTCCATATATATAGGGAAATGAAACTCATATTCAGAATAATTTAATTCACATTATAAATACATAGTCATTTTTAAACCTTTTGAAGAGTGAGACAAACATTGTTCAAGTGTCAACTCCTTTTATACTATACTGGAGTTAATGTTTGATGTTTGTTCTACTGTTTTTAGCCAAGTTTAAAAATAGCATTTATTATGGACCTCACATGCATGAATTTACTGTTCCCTAAAATAGCCTGTATATTAGAGTTCATATGGCTGGGACAGGCTGTGGTTGGCATCAGTAGAGATGTTAACTCTGGCAATCAAACTGCAGAGCTGCAGAGAAAGCTCACTGCAAGGAGTACTCAAGGTCAAATTCAAAAATACGACAAACTAAAGCAGCATTTTTTATTTACTCAGGAATGCTTTCAAGTTGTGCCTTAAGATAAGATGTTTAATAAAGAGTACTGTACAAACAAACCCAGTAGAAGTGTTTGATTATCACACAAGGCATTACAAATAATTAAACATCCTGACTCGATGGATCATCATTTTCTCTCTTGATCTTTACTTCTATAGCACAGCAAGTTGTAGCAGTGAAGAGTCCTTTAATTTGAGTAGTCCTGCAAAGACCAGGGCAGGTATGGCAGAAGCACACAATTCATACACCTGAGAGCACATTCACCTAATGCTCTGGTCAAGCCAGCCACAAAACATCATTAAATTAGAAAACAAAACAAAACAAACCCAAACCCAGAACAACATAAAACCTACCACCACCAAGAGAACAGTTGCTAGTTTTTAGTTGAAAACTGTACATTTTTGTTAAGACTACTCCTGAACACTGTTTTCCTTCATGGTACACATGAAGAGAACAACAGGTATTAATATTGCTTCTTAGACTGTAACTTCATTCACTTAAAACTGCTCAATAAAATCTTATTTAATTTAACCAGGAAATTGATGAACTAAGAGAGTTTATGCAATTCAGTCAGATTTAAAATTCAATGGGTTAAAAATGTTTATCCATGAAATAATGTGCCAAGGCATGGCATGACAAAGGGGTGTACTTAGGTGGAGCTCAGCTTCTTTCAGCTGCCAAATCAGACTATTACCTTAGGCATCAAACAGTCAGAGAAGGTAATCACTTCAAAATTGCCCGTGTGACACAGGAAAATTTCTGTTCTGGCACTTGGTCAGACAAAATGAAATGTTGCTTGGAAGTGGCACTTAATATTTGGCATCTCTAGGCTATGCTGATGAATCATACGGATAAGAAACACACTGCCATTTAAAGCAGCTCAGTATCTAAAGATGCCTCTTCATCTCATCTGCAAGTAAGTTATAAAACCAACATTTGGAGCATACTTGCAAGGTAGTTAGTCAACATTAGTATAACATATGGGGAAACAAGAAAAGCAGAAAATGGTAAATATTTATTATTGTCCTTCAGTTAAAATAAATCAAAATAGCTATAATCACCTTTCTATCATCTGATAATTCTGCTGCTTTTATTGCTAGAAAAAGAAACCAATTTTTGACAGAAACCAATTTTTGACAGCAAGGGACCATTCCTCATCTCAAATCAAAACATTCTTAAAAACCAGCAACACTAATTCATCATGTGAAATTTTGTTGGACGTGGCTGTAATGTAGGTATTCAGCTAGAATGCATACACATATATATTCTTCCATTATACCCATGCATACAGAACTAAAGTCAGTTCCTCTGCTGAGTTACAGGACTCTAGTTCTAGAGATTCCATCACTGCAAGAGGGGACAAGTAAGGAGAACAAAGGCTGGAGAATGGCAGTAGTAGCAGCAGTAGTAGTAGTAATAGTAGAAGCAGCAGTACAAATTTTGGCTGTATGCACATTTGTGGCACATTTGTGCAGGGCAGGAAACCAGCACGGCTGGTTATGGGCTCAGGAATGCACAAAGGCACAGACTGTGAGCGCTGCACACCCTCCAAAAACTGACAAACCAGAGGAAACTGAGTGGGGACAAAGAGCAGGTAGTTCACCTTAATATATAAAGCATGAGAAAAGCACAAATGGTTACTCCTAAGACCCAAAAAGGTGCGTTTTGCTCTGTTTTGCTCTTCCTTTTCCTCCTGGCTTTGAGGGTTGTGAACATACAAACACACAGAACTGCAATCAAGTCATTGTGCCACTGGAGACCTGAAGAAATATCAAGACACTTCTCTGCTTGTAACTTACATATTTTTCTGCTGGTTTTGTCCATTTGATCTACGGGACTCTATCTCTTTAGGGTCAAGAAAACAGCACACATTTCAAAGGGTTTGAACTACGTGCTCAAGTACCATCCTAACAATAAAGATCTAAGACAACATCAGTTAAACTGGGAGTGCACTAATGAATGCTCTCAGAAAATCTAACCTTGGAACAGGCACAGTGCGAAGATCACAAGCAGCAATAGGACAGACACATTTTGTCTACTTAACCAAAGAGGAGAATCGGACTCATGTTTAGCTCCGTACATGGGGGAAAAACCAGGTGCAAGAGTAGAAAATGACAAAAGAGTGAATTAAGGCTGGATGCCCAACAACCTTCTTGGCAGAAAAAATTCTCCCATATTAGAAAACAGGTCTCAGGAAAAGCAAAGGAAGCCTTGACATCTGACATAATTAAAAGGAAGAACAAAACACACTATAACATATGCTGTCTGGAACAAACAGCATTGGCAGGTGGACAGACTGGATGATCTAATGAAAGTTACTTTGCCATTTTTAACCTGCCTGATTCCATGGAACAGGAGAAAAAAGCCAAGAGGGTTCATAAAAATGGTTTCTGGCTACTAGGTGGACTGGTATAACAAATCCAGGACACTTCAGTTCACAGATAATTAAAAGGTAAAACCAAAAAAAATTACTTTCATTTTGTCATTTAGAAGACAAAGCTGCTTTTTAAGTGTCAATTCTGAGAACATTAAATAAGAAGAAACATCCACTGCAGATGCTTGAGAAAGTGATGTAATGTTTAACAAGTACTGCAATCTCTCGTAACACCTCTCAGCTGATGGATCTTGTCCAGCATTTCCCTGTGATGAGGTACATTTCTTACTAGCCTCATCCTTTTATGTCTTTTTAGGGTTTTTTCATCATCATGGGCATGTCAACTTCATGATGTTTGCAGAAATCACAATGCAGATTCTGCCATGTCAGATCTAATGCTTCTGGTTTAGATATAAAATAGACTAAAAATGCAAAAAGAGCAAAAATATCATATAATATAGCTATTTCTCTATGCAACACCTTTTGTGATCTCAAATGCCATAAGTTGCTTTAATCTTAGGACTGAGCAAGGTCTCTTTAGTTTATCGCACAAGGCAAATCCTTCCACTGCATGAATACATTTGCTGTGAGGCTGTTGTCTTTCATCACAGACTGCAGCTCTTCTCTCAGTATCAAAAATATCACAGCCTGTGTGGTACTACATCTACTCCACTTGACAATCCAGGCAACTGTTTTAAAACAGAGAACTCTGGTCTGAACAGCACACCAGAGACTACAAAAGTGCTGCAAATGCATTTTGATGACTCTTGGCAAGTGAAATGCTTAACTGTGCTCAGGAACTGGGCTATAAATTATGCTGTCAAGTAGTTTCAAGGGCACACTAATGACAACCACGCACTGCCAGGGAACAAGGCAGTTCCCTTCCTTCTGGCCACAGAACAGAGAGGCAAGGAGGTGGCAGACCAAGCTGGTTCACAGCAGACACTCTCCTCTACCCTGAAACATCCCCTGGCTAGCAGGGTTATTTACAGCCAACTTCTGCTGGCAGCTTAAAGCATGCCCAATGGGGAAACTTTTAATAATACAGATTTAGTGAAAAAATATTCCATTAGTTCTTTTTAAATATGCCCTTTCTTTAGCTAGTACAGAAGAATTACCGGTATTCTCTGGCTATTTACTGTCATTTCCCATTTTTCTTTTCTTCTAAGGTTTTGGGAGCTATCATTGTTACATTCATTTGTAACATGCTGTTATACATTGTGTGTGTTATAGATGGACAGTTTTAAGAAACTGTGGGCTAAATCAAAAAGCAATTAATTTAATTTTGATAAATGTAATAGCATTTACTATCAAGACTCCCATAACTCAGTAAAGGACCTCTTTTCAAGTAAGATTACAATCCAAATGTATTTTTTTAATATTCTCTTCAATAGAAACAAAATCTGATGCAAACTTAGATCACACTCCATACAGAGAATGACATTCTTATTGGAGCAACCTGTGCAATTTAGGAAGAATATTTAGAAAGAATGGGAAATAAAACTTAAGTGAAATTTTCTTTGATTCTTTCTCCACCACTTTTAGCTCCCATTAGAGTCACAAACAAGGCAATTAACCTTCCCACGCACCATTTCCCCCCACAAAAACGTGCATAGAACTGCCTGCCTGTTCTACAGGAGCACTAGGAATTTCAGAGCATGCAAAGCTTGGTCTAACCCACAGGCAAACAACCTCCAGTGCAAAGATGTTATGTAATTAAAGATGTGCACTCTTAAAAGCAACCAGCATCTAATGAAAATTTTCAAAATTACTAACAAAATGCACACCCAGTGCAATAATGCCCATATTTGAAATACATATCCAAAAGAAGAGGAAAAAATATGTTGCAGTCTTGCAAAGGGCCCCCAATTAACTGATAATTAATTAATTAATTAATTAAAATTCCTCCTGTGTCCGTGGTGTTCACAGTGCCCAGCATTTCTCAGGTCCAGACCATCCAACAGTGCTTCTGGCATATGGTAGATCCACATCTCATAAGCATTCATGACTTATTCACTGAAGGCATGTGCTCATTTCTGTTCTCTCTTTACTGAGAAAACATCATGGGAGATAACAAACTTGGACCCACACAAAACTGAGCACTTGCAGAAGAACATGGAATAGCTATTTTCAGCAACATTTGTTAATATTCTGTCATTTAAGGTGGATAATCAGATTTAAGAAAACAAATGAACGAACAACACTAGACTGTGAATACAATAATTATAAAACTTGTGGGTACTTTCACAAGGTCAATATAAAGAACTGCAACTGAAAAGAAATGGAAAGCAATGTAAGGTTTGAAGAAAACTGTCAAAAAGCTGTCCCCACAGCCATGAATACTCAAAGCATAAACAAAACCATTATGAAAATCAGGCTCATGATATTCTAATATCTCATGGGAGTATCTGGAAAGAGATGGTAGAAGGGAGAAACAGCACAGGAATTCCCAATCCCCCTATACATTTAACACTGAGCAATCTAAAGAGTCTTACCTCAAGTTTATATGCCCTGTCCCTGCTGAGGGGCTCCAAGGGAAAACTCAGGTTATTTGCTTCTGCCAGGGAACGTAAATCAAAATAATACTTGGCATAAACACTGGAGGGAACATTAATATTGAACTGTAACAGCTCAAGAAACTGGCGTTCCAGCTCATTCCTGTGGAAAGAAGATAAACATGGAAACATATTTCAGACTGTGAATTCTGAATGTAATTTTACTTTAAATTGCAAATGGTATAAACCAAGTTCAGTTTTTATTCTTGCCATATGCAATTATCCCAGCCTAAGTTTGACCTTCTCTACCAAGTTCTATCAGTGTACTCACACCAGTGAGGAATATGAGAGATGCTGCACCTTGCAGCTGCTACTGCAATGCCAATCAAACCCAGACACAAAGTTTTACTAGTGAAAGGGCACCTTTATCAGTTTAGCTAACACAATTTAGGAAAGAAAACCTAGCAGGGAAAAAAAATTTCTCGTAGTTTCTACTTTACCTCCACTAGGTGGGTCTGCATACACAGCTATGCCGCAACACACACACACACCCCTGCCCTAAATTTGTCAGGCTCCTCTCATAAACGCTGCAAATTATTCTAACACATAAACTACTGAAGAACATATTTACTCCCTGCAGCTCTTCATAATAAATTGTTTAGAATTAGTCACGGGAAACCTGAATTTTTCATCATACTCTCTTTATGAACAGAATAAAGCAATTTTTCCCTTAGATGTGCAACCAAAATTCACGGTGGTGAGCACGTGTTTTCCAGCATTTAAAAGAAACATGTTTGTCAAAATACCTGATAGGAACAGAGCTCCTGTTTGAGCTCCCACCCTGTAAAACTTTGGTATACAAATACATTATTACCTACACCAATACATTAAAAAGTACATTGAGAAATAAGGCAACTAACCAAATTAAGGACTGGAAATTTTCATAAATTGTTCAGATATCCTACTTAATACTTATGCATGATACATTCAAAACAATGATTTCAAGATATGAGAAATAAATAAAATCAATGGGTGGTGAAAGCTACCAATGTTTGCTGAAGAGCCCAGAGACTGCACTGCTGTGCTACCGTGGGCATTGAATGATGATTATATTGTCTCTAAGTTACATTTTGACTGGGGTGCAAATGTGCAAGGAATACGAAATGGAAGTTGCACAGTTGGCAGTAGAAGAGGAAGGATCAGAAGATAAAAAGTACTGGTGCAGTAGTTTTTTTAACACTGAATTATTTTTCTCCTTCTCACTCTTTACCCTTATATAATTCTTACATCATAAGCATTGTCCTTCCTTATCCTCACTCTCTGTGCCAAAATTCTACGTTTATATAATGATAAATACTAATTAATACTAAAAGACTAACTAAAAGCTGGATATGGAGTCTTTGGCTTAAATTCACATTGCTGAAGATTCCAACTTAAAAATCCAAGTAAAAAATGTCAATAAATAGAAACAAAATATTGCCTTTACATGTCCTTTTATACTGCCAAGATTGTACATTCTGCAAGCTAAGCCAAACATTCTATATGTTTGGCTTATCACAGTTTAAGGACTCATCACAGTTTAGCTTAGGGAATTTGCAGTGTAGAAAAGGGCTGATGTGAGCACAGGTCTGCCATGTGAGTACTGGTGCTATATAGCTCAAGTGCAGCTTCTAACAGTAGAACCATCACATGTGTTTGTCAGAAACAATAACTTCTTTTTTTGTTTCCTTTCACACCGCCTTCAAGAAAAGCCCTGAGATAATTATCAATTTCAAACCTCACATTTATAACCATTCCTGATTAATGCTGTCATATGGCACAGTCAAACCTGTGACTCTGCTTCAAGCTGTTCAGAACTTCAGCTCACATCCCAGCTTCAGGAACACTTTAAAAGCACCCAGATTTGCCTTGGAAGAGAAGTGAGTGGAGGGAGACCATCACTACTACTGAATACTCAAAAAGCATGAGAAAAGGATCAAGGGAAAAAGTAACTTTGTAAAATCACTTAGATTCCATTAGCAAATTATTCTGCAGGGAATACTATTGCACACAGAAACGTGAAGGGTCTCATTTTGGTTCTTGTTCATCTTACCTCCCTCTTTATTTTGGAAACCTCATTCTGTCTGGATTTTTAACACCTTGAAAACTAATTCAGCAGTATACCAGGGGGAAAACATCAAAACTCAAAAGCATCCATTTTAAATAATGGCAATGAATAACTGGGTGATCATCTAAAGGTCATTAAGATAACTTCCTTTCCTGCCTTACATGTCCATTCTCTGCATGGAGAACTAGCATGACAGTAAGTGATGCTGAAGTGAATACATGCAAGCTCACTGGATGTGGGGAATTTTATCAAACCATACATTTAAATATTCTGTTGATCTGTTTTCATTATTGTGCATGAATATCCAGTGGTAAAATACACTTCAACCAGAAAACAAAAATAATTCATGTCTTCTATGTAAGCGGCTGTCAAGCTGACCTCATGCCATCTATCAGCACTCACCATGTTTAGATACAACACAAATATACAAACTTCATACAATTTATGAAAGAATTTCCCATCACCCTCACAGACACAGATGTTGGCATTCATTGACAAAGATAAACGAACTTCACTCACATGTCTTCGACCGTGATATCCTTCAGGATCTGGCAGTAATCCACGTTCCACACTGCCTGGTCGTCCCAAACTTTGGATGCCAGTAGAATTGCCCCCAGTACTATTCGCTTCCAGTTTGCTGGACAAATATCTATCTCTGCATAAGTTAAGAGTCTTTCAAGATATACCTGTGGAAACACAACGAAATCAAGACTTGATCTATTTTGCTACCAAGTAGAAATGAAAAAGAAAACTATTCCCATTCCAGCAATTCTAAAACAGTATGCTGTTAAAAATGCTTTCAAGAAGATTATTTTATTATAAAAGTTGTAGTTTCAAATACATGGCATGTTAATGCCAGGCTCAAAACTGGATGTGATAAATCCACTTTAGTTGGCCTTTGCCTTCCAATCCTATTACCCATTTCAAGAGGTCAGACACCAGAATCCTAAACACACCATTTCTTCTTTAGCTGTGATTGCCCCCTGCCTGCCATCCCAAAGCTGAAGAAAACCATAATGTTATCTTATAATACTGTAAAACAAAATATCGCTAATTGTTAAAAAAATTTATTTTCCTTCTTAAGGAAGGCAAACTGTTATTTAAGAACAGAATTTCAAATTATGTGTCAAGCCCATTAGTGAAGATGGAAGTCTGACTTTTTACTTAGTGGATCATTCTGAAAGGACTTTGACGTACAAAATCTGTTATGGTGAGCCTGCAGAAACACAAAGCTCAGTAAGAAGGTGACACATGGATCTCCCTGATGTCTGCACTACCTGGGGGTTCTGTGCAAAACACTGTCTTTTGCTTTCCAGACAGCCTGTGTAAACAAACTCCTTACACTCTATATCGTACAATTTGTACGTACAAAGGCAATTTGTCAACTTTGCAAGCAAAACTGCTGCTCAAATAATGAAAATACAGCATTCCCTGGAGTCATCCTTGGGAAGCAGAAAACTTCTTTAAAGCAATACATTAATGCTGGGAGCTTCATAAGCAGAGAGCATATGGAAGCCGTAATATTATGCCAATCAAATTAGCAGATAACTTAACTTCCTTCATATCAATACAGAATTTGACTCTCTACTGTTAATGCAAACCTTTTAAATCTCAATTTTTCACATCCAGTTTTAGGAGATTTAAAATGAATATGCCACATTTATAGTGCATACATAAAGCATACAAAAATCCGAAAATATATCCTTTCTAATGTACAGCTCTAGCTTAGAAAAAGAGAGAGAAAAACAACTAAATAAGGATTTTGTGGGGGCTGAAATTCAAAGGCACTTAAAGAAGAAAATGTAAAGAATTATATTGGAAGGACAGACATAGAATCATAAAATAGTTTGGCTTGGAAGGACCTTAAAAAGCCATCTAGTTCCAACCCTCCTGCCATGGCAGGAACATCTTTCACTAGACAGGTTGCTCAGAGTCCCATCCAGCCTGGCCTTGAACACTTCCAGGGATGGGGCATCTATTTCTGTGGGCAACCTGGTCCAGTGTCTCACCACCTTCATAGTCAAGAATTTCTTCCTAACATGTAATCTAACCTCTTTCAGGTTAAAGCCATTTATAACCCTTGTTCTGCCACTAAAAACCCCCATAAAATGTTCCTCTCCAGCTTTCCTGCAATCCTTCTTCAAGTACTTAAAGGCTGCTGCAAGGCATCCCCAGAGCCTTCTCTTCTCCAGGCTAACAGCCCCAACTCTCTCAGCCTGTCATGGGAGAGGTACTCCAGCGCTCTGATCAGCTTCATCACTCTCCTCTGGACTTGCTCCAGCTGATCCATGCCCTTCTAATGTCAGAGAGCCCAAAGCTGGATGCAGCACTCAGGTGAACAGAGCAGAGGGACAGACTCCCTCCCCCTGCTGCCCACAGTGCTTTGGATGCAGCCCAGGACACATTTGGCTTTCTGGGCTGTGAGAGCACAGTGCACACGTCCAGCTCCTCCCCAGCCAACACATCCAAGTTCTTCTTGGCAGGGGAAGCCATCCTCTCAAGCCATCCTCTGTTTGGCCTGCATTTTGTTCTTGGGATTGCCCTGACCCACATGCAGGACTTTTCAGCTGGCTTTGTTGAACTTCATGAGTATTGCACAGGCCAGCCTCTCAAGCCTGTCAAAGTCCATCTGCACAGCAGATGAAATTACACCTCAGTAAAAAGGCAGCATAAACTTGCCACTATTTTCCCACCAGCACACACTTGAGAAATCAGAATCAAAAATTAAATAGGAGTTTGATGAGACTCTATTGCTACACCTACTTCATTACCATATTGATGCATCTTCCAATAGTATGTTGAGGGTTGTGAAAAATCACTCTTGCTTCCCTGGTGATAACTTGGGCTTGACTCCAAATACACTGATTGCTGGAACGAGGCTCTTTATCATACTTCACTAAAACTGAGGATGATAAACAGCTCTCCATTAGAAAGGCACTTAGTGTAGCTTTCAACTCAACTCCTTTCTTGAACATGCCTTAAAGGAGCATTTATTTTGTTCACTTGCTGTGACCTCCTTTACTCAGTCTTGGGTTTTAAGTATATATTCGAGCAAGAGAAAACAGAAGAAGAACAAAACTTCTAGCAGCAAACACTTGTTAAAGTTTAATAAAGTCCTCAGTCAGTGTGAGAACTCACTGTAATCTAGGATTTGTGACATCATCAGTGTACCTTTGGGAGACACTAGTGTAAGTCTTCAACTTTTAATCAAGCTCACCCAGCCACACACACAGTCTTTCTTCTAGCTCTCCCGTGTCTCTTTCCTAGAGAGAACCCACTGACTGCAGAGCAGGAAATTCAGGCTGGTACATACTTGAGCTCTTGCCCTGCTGATACAGAGCAACCTCGTAATAGCAGCACACATGGAGCCAAGTGAGCAGTCCCCAGTGTAAACGTGCCCAAAGTTCATTATTTCTGATAAATGGAGCTGGTTTCATTTCAGAGCATTTCAATACACAAGGCCCTAGTGGGACACAGTACCAGCCCACGATGTCCCATGATGGGATACCAGAGTAGGACAGGCAGGGTCTGCCATGCACTCACTGCTGCAGGGGGTGCTTCTGGCTGCTGCAAAGATGTGCTGAGTCAGGAGAGACTTTTGGAGAACAGCCAGGTGGCTCTCAGCCCGTTTGAAGAGGAAGGCTGGTGGGGTGGTTAACCACTACGCTACTCATCCCAAACAAACTCATTGCTGGTGGGAGAACACCACCTGCTTCTGCTGGCAAAAGCCAGTGAGTCTTCCCACACACACAGGGAGGCATGCTCCACCTCATTTAAAAAAAAATCACTGAAAATGTTGGCCCTGTAATGGTAAATGTGAGATATGGAAATACCATTTGTATGCAATTATGTCTAAACATTAAACAGTGTCTTAAACACAAGGGTCATTTTCTTAAATACGGGTTTTGTATCAAACAGACTGGGATTTTGAGTGTACTATGTGGTTCAGTGTATTTTTCTCTTGTAATGAATTTCACTGGCCTAATTTTCAAAAGCAAAACACTTTTGACATATTCTTCAGAACTAGCTGCCATGAAGTAATATAATAAAGTTGAATTTTAAAAGGTCATAATAGAGAAGAATATTACAACTTCCATCTCAGAATGCTGGAATAAATTGCAAAAGACAAAAAATGCAGAAGAAACAACGTGAGAAATGCTATTTTTCTTTCTTTTTTTTAAAACGTAAGTCTAAGAACTATCTTTTTGATTATTTTGACAGGTGTTCCTTCATGGAACTAGAACTAAAGAGCTTTTAGTGTCTAGAGGTTAAAATATTGTTTGCCTCCACCAACTTTTAACAGCTGTATCCATGCTCCAGAATGGAACTAAAGCTGAAAACAAATTGAAGCTATTGCAACATTGTTACTTTTTTCCAATTTGCTTCATCCTTTGCAGTGCCTGAAAGTAAGCTTCTGAGGCAGAACTTTTCAGTACTTCTCTATAAAACATTCAAAAGATGAATTCTCAAAAGAGTCAAGTTTATTCTGCTTTTATTTAACAGCTAGTTCTGCTCAAGCATTTTCATAGCATCCAAGAGCCATCTTCATCACATTTATCATTGCCCACTTAGTTCTGGCTGTATGTATAGGTATTTTTTACAGAATGATAACAAGACTACTTATACAGATTAAAGTTACTGATGTGACACAAGCAAAACTTTCAGTGGTTTCAGTCAAACAAAACACTTCTGAATTCTTTCCAGCTTGCAAAGAACAAATACAACTCAGTGTTAGTAACAACAGCACTACAATATTCAAAACTCATTTGTACTGTAATTCAAATCCTAGCTGAAATGAAAATACAATTCTGATTGGGAAAACGCCAGTGGCCATTGGTCTGTACATACATTTCTATTTCCAGACTCGATACCTCAGAGTCTATACCACCACCATTAGTCTACATTCTGCATTTGGGAATGAATCAGATGATTTCACATGACTGTCAGTCTAACAAGCTTGGATGGACAACAGCTGCACCTCACTGGGGACATTTTAATAACTAAGCACAGGTCAGAATGCACAGTGCACGGAGTTAAGATCTCAAAGGAGCAATATTGCATTATTTTCCATCTCTTCCCACAGACTAACACCAAGCTTTCACAATGACTGACCTTTATACTTGGAGTATTAGCAAATTATTATTTAACCATAAGTGAAACCAATTTGGTGATTTGCCTCTGTTAAAAATTCATTTATCTGAATGAAGGAGACTTTATTTATACTAATTAAATAAAATTACTACTCCATGTGTATAGATAATCCCAAATTGGCTGGAAGTTCCATGAACTCTGGAGAGGTTCATTAGCTTAGATGTAGCACCGCAGGAATGTACTTAAATGGCTTGCAAAGCCATTTCAGGTCTAGCAGAAGTACAGAACTGATTTGTTTCAGCACATATCTTCAGCTCTTAAATCTGCCAGACCTGAAACAACTCCATGCTGACCTAGTTTGGATGCCTCTGATCTTGACTCCCAGGACCTGGACTTGCAGTGGCATGCTAAATAGCATTAGGCCATCCAATATAACCACTAGTCCTGGGGGGCTTTTTTATCCAAACACAGAACCGCAACATGGCACAAACTATCAGGATCAGCAACAGCATCCAAGGCCCAGCAGCGCTGCTCCAGCAGGGCCACTGCTGAGCTTCAGCTAATCCCCAGGGTGGTTATTTGCAGGTGGGTGAAT